TTGCACTCGTCCAACTCTTGAGATAGTTGGGAATTCTTCTCCGTAAGAACCTACACAAATAATGATCGTTAAATCAGTTGCATCAACTGTTTCAAGTCTCAGGGGCTATTGATACATATAATCGTCAGATTTGCTTACTTGTACATCCCTTACATACTGATCCGTGGCTCTGGCTAGACCATTTTGAGCAGCACAGAGGCACGTGTCTCCAGAATTGAAGGCATCAAATGCCTCTGGTGAGAAGCAAGCATCACGGAGTACGGCCCGGTGACGCCTATGATTCATGGCGCTCTCCACTTCTGAATTTGCAGCGGATAGTCTATCCGCATCCTCCGTAGGAGGAGCATCCGGCGTCCGGCCCATGTTGGCTTCCGCCTCTATGTCCGGCCCTGGAGCCCGACTGGTGGAGGCGTGATCGACAGCCTCTCCGGATATACTCCGGTGAGCTTTTTTTCTATTAAAGAAGCATGGACGTCATTACATTTTGAGAAAGACGACAACCACGGAGCGAGGTTTTGTGTCATACCTCTGCGCCGGCGTCTCCGTCCTGACCGCCTTCCTTTTTGGCCTACCCGGCTTCCGTGCCTCTTGCTGGCGACTTGCTGCAGGTTCGGCACGGTGTCCCGAATGCCTTCCCTATAAAACACCATATGTGTACGGTAGGTGAAGTGTCTAAAAGGGGATCCTATTTTTGGAGTTGGGATTTTGGTTTTTCTTACGTGCGACGCAGGGAGTAGTCTGGGATAGTCGGCCGTTATGGCCACCATGGCGTCATCGCAGCTCAATTGATAGAATTGTCTGTCTATCAGCTCCACGAATATGTCCGGATCCTCTTCGAGTCCAGGACCGAGGGCCCGGTCAGGGTCCTCTGGTTGTGGAGATGGGATGTTGGCCTCCCTTACAGCTTTTCGCAGTTCCTGCCGTAAAATGGCAAGGTGAGTACCTACGACAAAGAATGCGGGAAGAATGGGAGTAAAGGGGTATAACTCACCCAGCTTGGAGGGTTGTACATGGAGAATCCATCCGTGGCTTGATACGGATGAACTCCTCTTCCTCTCCCTTGAACAACTCGGACAAATTTTTTGCTAAAGCAGCAGCGGAGTCCGGTCCCTTACGCCCGCAATGGGTGGCATGATCTTCCCCGTTAAAACACCATAGGGGGTGCCCTCGATATTGAAGTGGCTGCACTCCCCGTGTTATGCATATTGACATAACCTCGATAATTGTCAATCCTGATTGAGCCAGCGCTTTAATCCGGTTCATCAGGTAAAGGACTTCTCCGTTGTCTTCCTCCTGGGGGCTCCGTGGGCGCCAGCTTCGGTGTTTCTTCAGAGGAGCATTCTTGAACTCAGGAAGACCCCGCCGAACAGGGTTTGGAAGGGGGACGTCCTCCATATAAAACCACTCCGCAGGCCAGTCTTCGGACGTCTTCTTCAGAGTACCGGACAGGTATCTGGTTTCAGCGATGCGCCATATTTCGGCTCCGCCCACTTGATAAAGTGACCCCTTCTGTGTGCGGGGCACAAGGCAAAATAACCTTTTCCACAGCTTGAAATGAGCCTCGCAGCCCAGAAATAGCTCGCAAAGGGCAACGTAGCCGGCGATGTGTAATATGGAAGCAGGGGTGTAATTATGCAGTTGGAGACCATAAAACTCCAGGAGCCCGCGGAGGAACGGATGAATTGGAAATCCGAGTCCCCTTAGTAAGTAAGGAACAAGGCACACCCGCTCCCCCTTAGAGGGGCTGGGGAAGCTCTCCGCTTGCTCCCCGCCATTATAGGTGGCGAGCCCGGCTCGGACGGGGACCATATACGCTGGAGGGAGAAATCCCTGAGTCTGCAGCTCTACTAATCGACTGTGTGGGACTAAACACCTCTCCCAATCACCGGGGTTAGGACTACGGGGGCGGGAGGAGGAGCTACGATGGTCGGCCATGTTGGAGTGGATTTTTTTGAAGCACGCTCCGATGGATTATCGCCGTGGGAGGATGGTATGGATTGGATCTAAGAATCCCCATCCCTTTAATAGACAATTTATTACCTGTCTAGGGGGGCGAATGTAAAAATGCCTTGGCTCCTCGTATTCGTTCGACGCGTGGAAGATAGCTCTTATTGAGCACAGAAGCCAAGAAGTCCAACATTTATGGGGTCGGGCACTACTTAACAGACATTCAAGATTTGGAGAAGAACCCGCCTTGCAATGCCAAAGGCAACACTGCGCGCCGGACAAATCGTCATTGAAGCCTGGTTCAGGGGCTACTGAGGGAGTCCTAGATTATGGGGTCTCCGGACAGCCGGACTATATCCGTTGGCCGAACTGTTGGACTATGAAGATGCGAGATTGAAGATTTCGTCCCGTGTCCGGATGGGACTCTACTTGGATTGGAAGGCAAGCTAGGTAATACGGATATGTATATCTCCTCCTTTGTAACCGACCTTGTGTAACCCTAGCCCCCTAGGGTGTCTATATAAACCGGAGGGTTTAGTCCGTAGGACAACATACAATCATACCATAGGCTAGCTTCTAGGGTTTAGCCTCTTTGATCTCGTGGTAGATCAACTCTTGTAATACTCATATCATCAAGAACAATCAAGCAGGACGTAGGGTATTACCTCCATCAAGAGGGCCCGAACCTGGGTAAGCATCGTGTCCCCTGCCTCCTGTTACCATCCACCTTAGACACACAGTTCGGGACCCCCTACCCGAGATCCGCCGGTTTTGACACTGACACTAACCAAACCCTGATATTTCTGGGACCTATTAGGGCCTGGCCTCGTAGCTTGGAATGAGTTTCTCACACGTTTGGTTCCTATTCAGCTATGAAACGAATCAGACGAATCTCGATGGAACTTGCGTCAGAACAGGAGGTTTTTAGTCAAGTCCTTATATGAGATGATTACCCACTGCGATGTTCCTATTGATACTAAAAAATAGTGAAAGGTCAAACTACCTCTGCAGTAAAGATGTTTGGTTTTCAAATAGAGGTGTGATCTTGACTAGAGATAACCTAACATGCTACAACTGGCAAGGTAGCAAGACTTGTGTCTTTTGCTAACATGACAAGTCCTCATAGTCATCAAGTCCTTCCAGGCCGCAAGTTGCTCGTATCTTGATGGATGGTCTAGAATTATGTCCATCTAATGGTATACAGAACAACATTATATACATATGCCTCTTATTTGTAATATGATTTGTATCATAACAATATGTATAAAGTAAATTAATGCCTCTTATTGGTAATATGATTCAGAGTATAACAAATATGTATAAACTAGAAGAAGTCTTCAACAGTGTTCATCCAAGAGAGCAACGTAATATGAATTGTATCATAACAAATATGAAAAAACTAAAGTTATGTATGTTATTTGTAATATAATTTGCATTGTACAAATATGTACTGTATAAACTAAGAAAATTCTCCAATCACGTTCATCCAACAGAGCAAGATAAATGGACGGTCCCGCCAAGAAATTAAAATAAGACCAGAAGTTGCAGCTCCTATTTTTCGAACAAGCTACTCCGGGCATATGTCCATGTTTTGACTGAGAAGGAAATCTCTAGCTTGGCGAGTTTGGCATACAAAAATGATGACCGAATTGGCAAGCTTGGCAGATAGCAATGGAGAACGCCAGTCTTATGGTGCGACAACATCTGGGCTACCTAGAACTCGACAGACTTCATGTTTCCTACGCACACAAAAAATACATTGAGGCCAATTCCAATGCTGTTCGCGAGCGGGTAGCACAGAAGGCGCTGGACATCCGGTTTGCATCCTCCGAGGATCAGCTGGCTGATGGACTGACCAAACAAATCAGGGCTACACGCTACAGAGCTACTTCGACACCATCGTTGAGATGAGCGAACGAAAACCTCTGTGTGTTTACAAACTGGACTATCCAAAGTACCTACAAGATCATAAACCAACACAAGGGCCAGACCACAATGTCACACATGCGCTGACCGGCAACAACAATTCATATTATACAGGCAACCTGGAAAAACAAAAACAAATGCATTCGACCCAGAATTCAAACCTTTATGCTACAGAAATCCGGTTCAAAACTCACTAGGGCCTAAAATAGAGGAACATGACACAAACAACACTTTTCTAGATCACACTCTTCGCCTCATTTTAACGAGGCTCGTTTCCTCCCAGGACACAAATTTTGTGTTATTTCTTCTTTGGCAGGTATGGACAGCAAGAAACAACCAGAGATCCACAGGTAAAGAAACACATGTGGACTGAATGCCGAAGGGCTTGGAGGTACACCACGGGGCAATTATTTCAGACTTCCTCAAAACTTGTCAACATGCTGAATGCCGAAAGAAACAATAGCATGGACTGGAGGCTCAGATCAGCGATACTAGAAATAAAGAAAATGGCAAATAGAAATGCTCCTCACTTCATTTACCTATAAAGCGACAAAAATGCAATTGCTGATAGTCTAGTGAAGGCAGTTCTTCCTACAACTGCTACTCCTTTTAAGAGCCCTGTTTGTAGTCCTAATCATGGCCCTGTTTTCCCACTCTTACATATCTTGTCTGATCTAGCACAAGATAATTCTATCCTGCTTCAGGGCATCAAAATATGTAATTTATAATGCTATATCTATGGAATCTAGCACTTTGGGGCTGTTTGCCTAAAAAAACTGTCCTATTTATAATGTAATATTCTAAGAATAATAGCATTTTGCTATGTTTAATCTTATTCCATTCCAATAGATGAGGCGATCATAGCTAATGTAGAGCATCTCGGCGTCAAATGCTCGACAAAAGATTCACACACGGCGAAATTTTGCCAGAAGATTAAGATCAAGTGTTATGCGGTTGCAGAGAAGCGCTCTAGATAAAGTTAGCAAACCTGATAAATTAGAAGGTTCAGTTTTGGAGGGGTTGATCTAGGAGAACTTTCACGCCATTAGTATGACATGAGACTTAACCTAACCATTCTTAGATTCATCTAACATGGACCTGCTCATTCCTACAAAAAATGGAGCTGCTCATGCCTTACGAAACTTCCTTCTCTTCTCTAATGCGTCCACTATGAGAGATGGACAAGTCACTTTCAGATCCTTGAAACCTTGGGTTGCCACTACATCATCCATAGCATTGGTATCTGAAATTTCGATAAATTCAAGGCAACCATCCTTAAGTTCATCGCAGTTATGTTGGTCAGCTAAAGCCAATGTGGTTGCCACAGTGTCCACATTCAGATCCTTGCAAAGTATGCTTTGGCAAACCAGCTTGAGCCTCTCCATGGCATATCTGTCCGCAGCCACCAGTAAAAGCTGGGCCATCTCAGTATCCTCATCCTCACCACCTGGCAAAGAATCGGTATAGATGAAGTGCAGCAGGGCCCTGAAAACAGCAGGTTGCATGTCCTTGATGGTTATTCACTGCCTCGGCTTCGCCTCCCGCATCGGCCCATAGAGCTCTGCCTTCAGAACAGGTGACCGCATAGCAAGAACGAGCCTATGTGCTTCAATGGTCTCTCCTCCAACACTGAAACTGACATCGAATCCCTCCTTTTCTTCCAACAGCTTGCCAACATGTTCAGTCATGTCAGATGGTGGCATGTCGATCTTGCGGAGCCCCAATTTGGTATCTGTAACATATGGCTTCTCGAAGACAGTGATGATGCATTCGATCTTCAGGTGATCATCTGTCACATCCCTAGTTCTAGTATGCACTAGTCTAGCCCTTCTTGTGTGCATCATGTTTAAGTTTGAAAGAAATATGAAATGGGGATTGAGGGAGTCCTGGAGTAGGGGGTGTCCGGATGACCGGACTATACCTTCAGCCGGACTCCTGGACTATGAAGATACAAGATTGAAGACTTCGTCCCATGTCCGGAAGGGACTTTCCTTGGCGTGGAAGGCAAGCTTGGCGATACGGATATGCAGATCTCCTACCATTGTAACCGACTTTGTGTAACCCTAACCCTCTCCGGTGTCTATATAAACCAGAGGGTTTTAGTCCGTAGGACAACATACAGAACAACAATCATACCATAGGCTAGCTTCTAGGGTTTAGCCTCTCCGATCTTGTGGTAGATCTACTCTTGTACTACCCATATCATCAATATTAATCAAGCAGGACGTAGGGTTTTACCTCCATCGGGAGGGCCCGAACCTGGGTAAAACTTCATGTCCCTTGCCTCCTGTTACCATCCGGACAAGACGCACAAATCAGGACCCCCTACCCAAGATCCGCCAGTTTTGACACCGACATTGGTGCTTTCATTGAGAGTTCCTCTGTGTCGTCGCCGTCAGGCTTGATGGCTCCTACGATCATCAATAGTGATGCGATCCAGGGTGAACTTGTCTCCCTGGACAGATCTTTGTCTTCGGCGGCTTTGCACTGTGGGCCAATTCACTTGGCCATCTGGAGCAGATCGAAAGCTATGCCCCTGGCCGTCAAGTCAGATTTGGAAGTTTAAACTACACGGCTGACATCCGCGGGGACTTGATCTTCGATGGATTTGAGCCACTGCTGAGCGCGCCGCACTGCCACGACGAGCATGATCTAGCTCTGCCGCCTAACAGTGCCCTGAAGACCGCACCTGCATCGGCTTCGACCCTTAATTCGGAGCCAACTGCGCCAATCGAGGATGGGTGGTTGGACGCCGCCTCGGGGGCTGCGATCCTAACGATGATCGAGCCGAACACCAGCCCCGCACTCCGCGAGACTCGTGATTGGAAGGAGCCGGACTCCTCTCCGGACTCCGAACCATTCGCGCCTCTGCCGATCGAATCCGATTGGGCGCCGATCATGGAGTTTACTGCCGCGGACATCTTTCAGCACTCTCCCTTTGGCGATATTATGAAATCACTAAAGTCTCTCTCTTTATCAGGAGAGCCCTGGCCGGACTACGGTTAGCGAGATTGGGGTACGGACGATGAAGAAATTGAAAGCCCACCCACCACTCACTTTGTAGCCACTGTCGACGATTTAACCGACATGCTCGACTTCGACTCCGAAGACATCGACGGTATGGACGCCGATGAAGGAGACGATGAAGAACCAGCGCCTATTGGGCCCTGGAACACCACCTCGTCATATGACGTATACACGGTGGACGCACCAAAAGATGACGACGAGGAGCGGAAGGACGCACCGAAGGCTTGTTCCCTCGAAAAGCAGTCAAAGCGGAGACGCAAGCGCCGCCCCAAATCCCGCCTTGACAGAAATAGCAATCACACAGACCCAGCGCTGGAGCAGGGCGAACCGCTACTGGACAACGACAATCCGGATAATCAAACCGAACAAACAAATCCTATCAAGGATAATGGTCCGGACGATGTAACACCGAACAGGCACCCGGAGCAGCAGACTGCCCGTAAAAGGCTTGTTGACACCGCGAGGAGTCTGAAAAAGCAGAAGCAAAGGCTCAAGGCTGCGCAAGACACACTCCACATCAGATGGAGTAAAATACTCGACACAGCAGCGATGTACAGCGACAACCGCCCCTCCAAGAGCTACCCAAAGCGGAAACTGCTACCTGAATTCGATGAGGAGGCCTCAGACCCCCCACAACCAAATATCAAAGCAGCCACCTGGTCGGATAGACGACCCCTCTATCAACACAGAGCGGCATATAACGCCACTCACAATACAACACGCGACCCATGCGAGGGCTCGCACCCAAAGGACGGTGCAACAAGATCCATCTATGGACCACGCAAGCGCGCCCCGGCATACAATTCAACACAACAAACATCCGAACAACGTGGTACACCCAGCTACATGGGTGCCGCACACCCCCTATGTTTCACCTATGAGGTGCTGGACCATGAATTTCCAGAGGGATTCAAGCCCGTAAGCATAGAGGCATATGACAGAACAACAGACCCTGGGGTCTGGATTGAGGACTATATCCTTCACATCCATATGGCTCGAGGAGATGATCTCCATGCCATCAAGTACTTACCCCTCAAACTCAAAGGGCCAGCTCGGCACTGGCTCAAAGGCCTCCCCGAAAGCTCCATTTGAAGTTGGGAAGAGCTCGAAGACGCCTTTCGGGCAAATTTTCAGGGGACTTATGTCCGACCTCCGGACGTGGACGATTTGAGTCATATAACTCAACAGCCCGGAGAGTCAGGCAGAAAGCTTTGGAACAGGTTTCTTACTAAAACGAACCAGATTGTCGACTGTCCGGACACCGAAGCCTTGGCAGCTTTCAGGCATAGCGTCCGTGACGAATGGCTCGCCAGACAGCTCGGCCAAGATAAGCCGAGAACGATGGCCGCATTAACAAACCTCATGACCCGCTTTTGTGCAGGTGAGGACAGCTGGCTAGCCAGATGCAGCACCAGCGAGCCCAGTACATCTGAAGTTAGAGATGGAAACGGGAAATCACGGTGCAACAACAATAACAAACGCCGGAATAAAGAAGACAACACGAAGGGCACGACAGTAAATGCCGGATTCAAAAGCTCTCAGCCAGGTCAAAAGCCGCCCCCCTAAAGGCACCAGGGATGAACTGTCCAGCCTCAACAAAATTCTGGACCAAGTATGTCAGATCCATAGTACCCCTGGTAAACCTGCTAATCATACCCACAGAGAATGTTGGGTCTTCATGCAGTCCGGCAAGCTCAACACCGTACACAAGGGGGAGGATACACCAAGTGAAGACGAGGACGAGCCTCCCAAGCAAGACGCAGGGGAACAAAAGCAATTTCCACCAGAAGTCAAAACAGTAAACGTGTTACACGTGATCAAGGGAAAAAACAACACGACACTCCCAGGAAAATATACCCAAGTGCCTGTCACCGCGAATTCCTGCCACTGGTCGTCTCAACCGATCACTTTCGACCATCGCGATTACTCAGCAAGTATCCGACACGCAGGATGGGCTGCCCTGGTATTAGACCCAGTAATTGGCGGATATCACTTCACACGAGTCTTGATGGACGACGACAGCAGCCTAAACCTAATATATCAGGATACAATCCACGGGATGGGGTTAGACCCAACACAAATTCGCCATAGCACTACTACCTTTAAAGGAGTAACGCCAGGCCCAGGGGCTCGTTGTACGGGCTCCCTCCTACTACAGGTTATATTCGACTCCCCCGATAACTTCCGTCACGAGCATTTAACCTTCCACATCGCTCCGTTTCGAAGTGGCTATCAAGCACTGCTCGGACGCGAAGCTTTCGCTCGCTTTAATGCAATACCACACTACGCCTCCCTCACACTCAAGATGCCCGGTCCACGTGGCATCATTTCAATGCACGGAAATATCAAGCGATCTCTGCGCGCCGAAGAGAGTGAGGCTGCCTTGTCAGCCGCACACTAAAGGCGCCCGGACCAGCGAAAGCATCCAATAGGTCGTCAAGACCTCAGACACAACTAATCGAGTCTGACGCCGCTACTTATACCGAATAAATGGTCACACCCCTATTTGTCAATACAAGGGGCTCAACGCGCGCAGACAAGTGGCAATTTCTCCTCATCTTGAATTATACATGGTTTCCTTAAAAAACTATCTTTTTGCATGACAACTTTTTCACCTAAATTCCTCTCTTTTACAGACGATCATCGTGCTACACCCGTCCAGGATACGGCAGAACGGAGACACAGGCGCAAACATGCAGCAGGGACCCGCTCCAAGGATTCTTTTTAGATTAAGACCCTGCGTAAACCTTTTTTACTGTCTCTTGTTGATACATATCCACTGTTGAGAAGGATGCTGACGTCTTGGCATGTGGCCACGCCAGAACAATGCACGTACCTGGACACAAGGGGCTTCTTACAAAGGCCATTATTTAGGCCCGGTTTATACCACCAAGACCGAATACCTTAGGGAGTGTTCGGCGTCGCGAGTTTGGCCTTATATGCGTCAGCTTCGAATCATTGTCTTTGGTCAAATGTTGGGTTTGCCCGGTTCTTGTGTTTTGGTGCCTTACGTTCCGCTTTACCAGCTAAGGTAGCACCAGGAGAACTACTGCGATTGTGCCCTGGTTCATCCGGACGAGCACCTCAGTAGAGAAAGCCAAAAACTGACTGTCATGATATAGCGTGAGACTGGTCAACCTCTCGATGACCTGTTGGAATGTTAGAGTTCCTCTGCCTTAACGAAGGGCCGTTTTCCGGCCAAGCATGTCCGCACCCCGGGATCAGGAAAGTGCGGAGCCACCAGGGGCTATTTAGTAGCCCCACTGTCAAACTCCTATGGCTAAGTGAAAGTGCTAAAGCATCATAGTCCGGTTGCCTCGCTCGCTCCGCTATCACCTCCTTAATAGGACCAAGATGTTGGGATAAGTGTGAATGCGTGTTTTTGCGAGCACCTCCGCATTATATGCGCGAGGGTTGAAGCCAATGGCTGCAATCTTTCAGGTTATACACATGTATACATAAACGGCCGCCCAGGAGG